AAAGGACCGGCTTGGGTACTTACCATCGTACGTTCGCAGGGAGGACATGGACTCCAAGCTATGCCAGTAGCCACTGGCTCTACACTAGGTCTACAGTACATATTTTACACCAGCATCACCTCCTCATTTGTCTTCAGGGAAGTCTCAAGTTACACCAAGATTACCCTCTTCATGAACGTGGGGGACGGGCGCTCATCACCCTTCTAGTTAAGGTCGTGCAGGCCAATCCATTGGTGTTTACCCTAAGTCTAACAAAGAAATAGCGCCGTTTCTAAATAGTCATCCACAAATTCGAGAAGACGGTGAGATTCCCTCCTCCCACTTTACCCAAGGAAGAGTGACACATCATGGGAATGCTGTGCTACCAGCACGCTCACCCTCCTCCTCCTCCCCCTCCTCCGCCTGCATATTGTGCTATGCAATGCGGCAATTGGTGGTGGAAGGGCATAGCTTCAGTCATACACCAATGACGACGTTGACTGGGTTCTAAGAGGTCTGAACTTGAAACGGCAATTAGGCAAAGATATATGGAGCTCATTAACCTCCATTTGACGCCACTGAACTGGCTACTTTCACGATGCAGAAGGGACAAGAAGGGGAAGGAGGAGGAGGAGGAGGAGGAGGAGGAGGAGGAGGAGGAGGAGGAGGAGGAGGAGGAGGAGGAGGAGGAGGATGATGGACGATTCTAATGACTAACCATCCGATGACCTAACCAACCAACTATTCAACTAACCTTAAAACACACGAGATGGTGTGTGTGGGTGTGGGTGTGTGTGTGTGTTTATCCATCGCTTGGCAAACAGAAGGGTGGTAGGGGTACGTGTTTGCACAAACTGACAAACTAGTAAACAGACAAACAAACCCACTGATAAGCACAACCAAATGACACCACAACTAACGTGCAGCAACCACTCCTGTCCTCCACCCCTCACGCCTCAGCGGACAAGGAAGCAACTCAGCGCCTCCACTTCACTGTTTGTGTGATCTGTCAGCAGTTGCTGGTTTATGGCATCACATCACACCGCATCACGTCACGTCAAGCCAAACATCGTTTCGTTTGGATGGTTCCACCGGTTCACTTCACGCTCATCAAACTGCCTTCTAACAATTGGTGACTGTGTGATCTTCCATTTAAGATAAACTCGCTAATACGTTCTGCACTGCTCAGGTGCACAAGTGAGTGGATACAGAATGGACAGATTAAAGTTACCCGCACTCCGTGCCTCGCCTTCAAAACTCTTATTTCATCCACTATCCTGTCCTTACGCCTTGTGTGCCATTACTGACGCCAACAAAGGCAAACTGACTCACGCAGTGAGACTAGTCGACGAGGTAGCAACGTGGCAGCAGTTCGGCCAGTAGCACTGTCCACCACCTGCATCATCGGCTTCAGAAGAGGACGCATTTTGAAGGGGAAGAGGGTAGTTCGTGTGGTTGGAGCCACTCCTCTGCTGTTGTGTAGATACAACTGCAGGAGCAGGTAGTGGTGGAGGTGGCGGTGGCGGTGGCCGCGGCGGCGACGGTGGAGACACCGACGAACGCACCGAAAGTAGCCTCTTTCGCTCAACTACATCCCGCAATCGATCCACCTCGGCCTGCAAAAAGGCCACGCGCTCGTCTAAAATAAGACAACAGTGATCTCTCGCATCTTCCACCCACACCACCACAACTACTACGCCCCAAACACCTCACACATTTCTCGCACGCGTTCCTACTCCACCTTCAACAACCGCCGATTGCGCCCACCTCCGTACTGCACACCCACACACAAACACACAGACTAATACACAACTTGGCATTCGTGGTAGGTGGATTCTGTGCCACCCACCTGAATTCACAACATCCTGACGACATGTACACACACACACACAACACACGAGACGAAATGTCAGACATTCCATACACAAACAACGGCGACAGTCGCCTTTCCACCGGTGTCCCACAACCCCACCACAAACGAGGCCGTGCTCTTTCCACACCTTCACATTCACCACCAACAATGTCGCCTCTGTGATACAATACCTCCCTCCGACAATTCTCACGTGTCAATCGACCATCGCTCAATCACTCACCAACTCTATGCATCAATGTTGGCAACACCAATGCCAACACCGTTTCCACGATGGCACATCAAAGTGCTTTCTTGTCACGTGTCAGTTAACTAGCCAAGTTAGATGAGCTGGGAATGAAGGACGCCTTCCATTGCAATATCGACAATAACGGTTCAAAAAAACAACATCACGCGCTAACCGCGGCAGTACCATCAACACCGACAGCACCACTGGAGATTGATAAACCACCACCACCACCTCACCGCCACCACCTTCTCCTTCTACCACTACTACTGCCATTGCAGCAGCCACCGCGACGTGGGAAGCGATCATGTGGATTTTGGGTGTGCATTTGTGTGTGCCAGTGCCTACCTAACTGCAAATCGACGACGACGATGCAACCTCATGACTGCCTGCCTGCTTGCCTGCCTACCCACCCACCTACTCACCCACAAAGCCACTCCAACACCTATCTGAGCACCCTCCTCCCATTGGCTCAGGCATCCGCATTACCGAATACCACGCACGCATTGATTTGTGACAAACAACACGTCGGTAACACCAATTATGTCGCCACCGTGATGTCGACGTCAATTAACAAGCGCATCCTGACGCAAATTATCACACCAGTGGGTACACATCACATGTTCCACTTCTCCACAACATCGTCACTCACACCAACTCCACTCCTCTCCTCCATCCACCAAAAGGACAACAACGCATCCTCCCCTCCACTCTCCTCCCCTCCCCTTGCCCCACCTCACCTCACTCCGCCTCGCATCCCTTTGCCTACCCTCACCACATCCCCATCAAACAATCAACAATCCACTCCAAAACAAAGCATGGACAAGGCACCTCTCACTACTCCTCGCCTACACAGTCTTCAAATCAATCGTCCTCTCACTGCCGCCTTCTTTCCCCTCACCAAGAAACACACACACACACACACACACAACCCCATCGTAATGTCACTTGTCACATGTTTGGCGCATCCTCATCACACCGCCTCCACTTCTCCATCAACATTGTGCAAGCATTCCCCACGACACCAAACACTCCACCAGTACTACAAATGACACTACTTCTACTCGTAACGCAGTTTGCTGAGACAGAAGGAAGACACTCACCAACACCTCCGACATGCTCCACCAATCCACCTGTCTGACAACCTCACCACACCTTCCCACGCATCTATCTCGAGGATACAAGTCACATCTACCAAACCTCTAACACCACCCACCACCTTGAAGACATTGTGTCCACTCCTTGCCCAATAAACAAACGCCTCAGTACCAGCACCAACGCCTCAGCCCCCAACTCACTGCCATCCACCATCAT